CGCAGTGGTTGCTTATATGGACCGCGTTCGGAGAAGTACCACGGCCTAATACGGAACAGACCTAAGTAGAAATTAAATTGTTTTAACATTTCACAACCTATTGTTGGGTGTTGCAGATGTCATTGAACTGCAATAATCACATGATATCACAACTCTTTTGCCGACTTCTACCGTTAAAAAGGAGTTGAACTGTGGTAGGACAACGCAACAGTCCTCGAAGATGCATAAATGGGCAGGTCCATCCGGGTAAGTACCACGACCTTATAGAAGACCGGCTTGAAGAGGAAGTATTATACGTCTGCGTTTCGCCTGACGAGTGAGGTAGACGGGGCCCACCTTATTAAAAGGTGTGTTGTAAATGTCAATGGGCGACGATTATCACTTAACATCAGGTGAACCGCCAGTTAGGTTTACCCCCTTTTCACATAAAAAATGAGTGTACTATGAGATACATGAGAGTCAACGTTCAAAACTCACCAGCAGTACTAAATCATCAAAGATTTTCATCAAGGCTTATTTATAGAATATACTGTGTAATATTCTACATATCATTGTTGCGTAGTGCTCAGACGTAATATTGTGATGACGTCTAAGAGAACAGCAATTCGGTACTGTATATCGATTTAAAAATAACGCAATGAAATACCCGTTTGTATGAGTACAAATACTTTATAAACTTATCACCATCCAAATATAAGCTTATAGCACTAGGCTAATTTAATTTACGCTAAAATTTCCGTTTCAAATAATAAAGAATATAAAAACTTAACAACGGATATTAGCAAATTCTAATACACTGTCACGCGCCATTTTCCTCCAATTTTGATTTTTCAAAGATTTCTAACTTGACAATTACTTTTATTTTTTTTAAATAGCTATGCTAGCCATATTAAGCGTAACAGCTTTATTAAATAGTTTTAATATTTAGACGGATGTGTAAAACGTTTTACATTAGGACTTAACACAAGCATGGCACTATCACTAGCATATCAGTGTTAAAAAGTTGCTGAATGGGGCCTATTATACATTCCTCCCATTTTTCAGTACTCGCCTAATGTTTCGTAACAATGGAGTTGCTGAGAGGTCAAGTTACAAAGTCAAGAATGGCTTTCCTCTCCTTATAATTGACACGGCAATTTGACGAACGAAGAAAGAGTATGTTGTTATTTCATAATGATATCATACATGTTATGGACAGTACAATAAAATTTTATTCAATTAGTAAACGTCAAATAAAAAAATTAAAAACGGCTATCACTATCAAATTTGAAAACAATATGCGACGAAACACTAAGTAATATCAATTTGTAGCTTGGAAATAACACGAATGACCCTTAAGAGACCTCACATCCACATACGAAAATTTTATATTGTAATATGCAATGGTTTATTCCAATTACGTATTAAACCATACATTAAAAGACACATATTTATTAATTTATTTTTATAATAAAGTATGTATTTATCTTATAAAATTTGTAGAATTTTACCCACACCCCTAAAATACTCTTTTCATATTATGTCCATCAAAAGGAAATTGCTTTAAGTAATAAAGCCGCCCATTGTACAACCCTTACATAATTGTTATTTTTAATGTATTCTTTTTTACTATGGTGTGTGGAGTAAACGATATTCATTCATTCATTCATTAAAAGAGACTCCATTTTTTTATTTGTTGGTACAAGTTACTCTGACTGTGCATGAGTGTGGCTAATTATTTTCTCCCGCCTTTTTACGTTTCCGTACCCAAAAGGTAAAACGTACCCTATTATTAAGACTCCGCTGTCTGTCTGAATGATCGTCCGTCTGCCACCAGGCTTTATCTCATGAACCGTGATAGTTAGATAGACAAATTTTCACTGATGATGTATATCTGTTGCCGCTATAACAACGAATACTAAAAACAGAAAAAAATATTTAAGTGGGGCTCCCATACAGCTGACATGATTTTTTTGCCCCCTGTACGGAACCCCTCGAGCGCGAGTCCGACTCGCACTTTGCCGGTTTTATTTTAATGTAAGAAGACGGTATGCTAGCTGGCAGTACACCTGATGTGATAACGGGTCTTTTCAGAGGGGTACTTCTCCGGACGGACCTGCCACATTTAAATGTGCAGATGCCTTCTCCAATGTTCAGAATTATGATACATATTCTACATTTATAAGGATAATAAATTAGCAGCTTTAACTTAATTGTATATTATAACTGTGCTCTACTGTAACTGTTACTATACTGTGAACGATATAAGTGAATTACGTAATGTTCAAGTTAACAGGAAGAGATAGAAGCTCTCAATAAAAAAAAGGTGCATAAAACATAATACACGTATGTCACGTGTATTAATATAAATAAACTCCAAAGGTTGTATCTTTAATAAGTTTAATATTATTTATTTAATTACTTTATTTTTTTAAGATATTTAGTTAAACTTCAGGTTAAACAATTGCATCTTAAGTATTCCCACTCTACTACTATAGTAATTATATAATGTGATAATGAAACATAGTTTATGAATCGGAAGTAACTTACATTAACGCACGAAGTTATGCGCATATTTCTAATACCTAATGGAGTTCTGTAATGGCCTTCTCATAAATAGAAATAAGAGGCAATCGTAGCATTTTTTTTAAATAACAATATTCAAAACAAATTGTAAGCGTTATTAGCGGTATTGGACATCATCATTTCCGTTATATTTCAGCTTTAGTTCCGTTTTTCCACAAAATGTAGATTTACGTCATTTTAGTATGTAAAGGTTGCGAAATGTAGCCTTTATTTATACTCATTATGTATATAATAGAATTATCAAAGTAAAATATTAAATTAAGTAGATAAATTATTAATGAGTGCGGTTTAACTAAAAAATTACGATATTTCGAAACTACTTCCAAACTTAGGACAATTATTTTATTTCTCAAACGTAGTTTTAATAATAAGTCTTTAAGGCTGAACTTTACAAAAGAAACCAATTGCATATTAATTCTGGTCTTTCGGCAGTAAAAATAAAAATCGGAAAAAAATCTTTCATCGCTTCATTTAAAAAAAAATATTTGGATACAATTGTGCGACTTCAGATTGCTATACCGGACACTGCTACTAATTTTTTTTTCTTATGTGAAAATTGTCTAATGAGCAATCGGTTCACCTGATGTTAAGTGAATGTGACATCTACAACACCTGAGGGCTTGTAGACGTTGTTATTAGTAATTTCATCCACTTCACACTGGTCTTCTGTGAAATGCTGAAGAATATGTCGCACCTTTAGAATTAAAGGGACCTAATTATGAAAATCATGACTTTGGATTTATATCAGGAATCGACCTAAAACAACCACCTTTCTCGAATCCTGTTAAAACATGGGTCGATTTTAGAAAGCTACATAACGTAGACTTCTGTCTCTTTCACGTCCCCCCAATTAGAGCGTTTGTTCATAAGTTCTACAAATCCTTATTTTATGTTTCCCAAAAATTGATATTTTTAAACAGGTCACTATAATTCTAAAGGTGCGATGTTACCTAACGCCGGTTCTACTATCGAACTGATACTCCCAGCTTAGCCATACATTTTATCTTCATCTTAGCCCATTTGCCATGCTTTGGCAAAACCTACTAACCCAATAGAATGAGAATGGCTTAGTATTAAAAATATGTGCCTGTCCACAAATACCTATTCTATGGGCCAAACAAATAATCCTTGATAATTTTTATAGTAAACAAATATAAAAAGCTTTAATACTTATTTAAACTGTAATATTGTATTTTGTCTTTTGTCTTTCAAAATTCTAGCTATGTTTTAATTGCGAGTCCCTGGTTGAGTCTTTAGTGCAGTTTATAAAAAGTTTATCTGGTAATGTGTACAAAACTATTTAATAAACTTTGATTTACATTAAGCATATACTTTAAAAAGAGTGAATTTTGAGGTGGTGGTCATTACATTTTTAAATAGAAGTTTGGCAAAATAAAACAAAGCTAAGTTATCATAATGCAGATTAAAAAAAAGTTTCATGACACCTGATAAGTAAAAGATTAAGTTCTGGGGTGAAAAGAGCAAGTAGAGTTAATTTATTTTAAATAAAGTTAAGAGTTTAATTATAACATTAATATCGAAATGATGTATTTTAAAAGAAATGAAGATTTACACAGACTAAAATTTTATTTAATTATTAATTGTTCAATTTTGGTGATCAAGGTCCATACAAAATGTACACAGTACAAGAAAATAGGAATGCAATCATATTAATTTACAAAACTTGTAACCATTGCACAATATGCATAATTACAATGTATGTAAGTAAGTATTAATGGTTATAATAAATAAGAGTGGAAGAGAACTGCTAAAGATTTATCTTTAGTTATGTATACCAAATGAAATTTCTAAAATATAACTAAGAAATAAAGTAAGAGCTTTTCTATCAGTTAAGTGCCGAAAGATTGTTTTCATATAACAAAAAAGATTTTTAGACAAGTCAAAAATAATCATTTACCAAATATAAAAAATTATTAAGTTCTTTATGTTAAACGGAAACTAAATAAGGTTTTATAAGATAACATCATGGTCTATACAACTATAGATACTAATTGTTATCAGGTAACATCAATTGCCACTACTAACATTAATATAAATAAAGATATATAGATGTAAATAAATACTATTGCATAAGATCATTTATCTTAAATATATTTAAATCTCTATGATACTATACTATATGTATACTTATAAAAAATTAACTAAGAATTAGTAAATTGATAACACTTCTCGGTGAATAGAATTTGTTACACTATAATGAATTTTAAATTGTCAGATTAAAAAATAACTTAATTTAAAAAAGATATTTTCCATTATGTATGTTTAAACAGGGATAGTATACTATTTCTGTTTATTGTTTATACAGTCTTGTTTTAAAGTGAAATGTTTTCAACAGATTATTTTTTTATTGTATATGTTTATCCATTTAAGGGGTTTTAGATGATATCTACATCACAATTAAAGGAAAAAATTACCTGATGTTTTGGTATTTTTGAACAAACTCTCCTAGTGCTTGCAGTGCCTGAATGTGGAGGTGGTTGTGGTATACCAACCCCCTTTGATGATTGGAGCCGAGTTTTCACTACTTCCAATGGACATGTAACTACTGCACCAGCAGTCCCAGCCAATCTGTTGTAAACAGTATCCGAAAATAATAATTCATTCAAAATGAGTACTTGAAGCCATGATGTTTATATTTCATTTATAAATATTGTCATAAATTTGTAGAGCATTGTTTTTTGTTTTTTATCTAAAAAAATATGGAACATGTTAATTAAAACATATATAAAAATAATAAAAAACGAGATATTTATGTTAAATAAATATAACCTATTAAAATACCACAATACTAAAAGTAAAATAATTCTGAAATTAATTTAACAGCTATTTTATTTTAACAACTATTTACTTTTAACTATAAATGCTGAATTGTTTCAGTTCATTCTTTCCTTTATGGAAATTGAATTCTAATAGGCTATAGACTAACTGAATTCACACAGACACTGTTGAAGTGGTAGTATTAGTTCTTATCTTAAGTACATATTTTGGTGAGAATGTGTTTTTTAAAAACTATTATAAAATAAAATGCCTACCCTCCAGCAACAAGATGTATCGCGGTATCCCTTTGAGACATTTTAGCGCCACCACAGTGTTAACATGACTGCAAATTGCAAAATCTATAAATAAACAAATGCACCGCCACCACCACACCACAAATGCGTTCAATCGAGTAGCAACGTCCAGTGTTTGTTTATGGCTTATAAAAAATTGTGTATAAATCTGATAGTCTTTGAATTATGGAAACTAGCTATGAGAACGTTCTTTTAATAACTTTTTAACAGAAAATTCTGTACAACACAGCACTCAACCATCAACACTGGTCTTTCAGTTTCGTTGCGTCGCGTTGAAACAATTTACGCACACGAACGCTACCGCCTTCACATACATACTCGACTATGGTACTTATTTTGCGCTCCTCACACCAAAAGAGAGGAACGCTCGGTTCACGTGCATTAACACACGTTTTATCTTTTAATAGTATAAATGTATCAGAAACTACAAAAAGAAACCTTATTACTTGGATTGAAGAATGGTAACTGAACTGATAGATATTATTTTACATGAGTTATCGATATCTATTATTAAATGACGTTTTCTTACAATAAAATGACATTTACTGGAGATAACATATTTCCTCAAACAGAATAAAAAATAATATTTTTGCTATTCGGTCTAACCTTTCCAGCATACAAATTCAATTTTACAACGATAATTCGAACGAGACACTTCGCCATTGCTTTTTAGAAATTATTTTTTTTATAGTGCTAATCTCTGCACTTAAGATTAAACATTAAAATTTGTAGAAAAAGTACGAAAAGATTGTCGCCGCTGTGGGAATTGAACCCACGTCTTAGGCATTCGTGGCCTGACGCTTGAGCCACTAAGCCAAACGGCTGATTGCCACACCGACGGAAATCAATGTTTTTTAGCATTTGAAGCAAAGCTTGGAAAGCTTGTTATAGCGTCAGGCCGCAAATGCCGAAGATGTGGGTTCGATTCCCACAGCGGCGACAATCTTTTTGTACTTTTTCTACAAATTTTAATGTTTAATCTTAAGTTCAGACATTAGCCGTGCATAGCATCTTCGCTAGTAATCTGGTCACAACTTGATGTTTGATTGAGAAGGCATGCAATTGATACTGCCATTTGGCTTATCCACTTTTTTTTACAAAACTCCAATTAAAATAACTCCAAGTAAAACAATTTAAATAAGTATTTTTGAACATCATTGTTTATAGTAAAATTATAACTATGGTTATGATATAAATGTACTGGTTATTACTTGTTTATTTAAATCTATCATCAAAGTATTATCGATATCGATACTCTCCGTGAAGCTAATGGTCATTCCCTAGATAAATAGCACGTTTCTTGACAAAGCAAATTACATTTTAATGCTCTGTAGACAGTAATACGTGGCCTCTTGAGTGTAGTTTTAATACAATTTTCGATTTATGGTAAAATTGTTTTATTTTGTAAAATGTAATAAAATAGCACTTGCGTGAGATGTGAAACCTTTTATTTTGAAACATTTCTTCGGTTATTGTTTTTGCAGTCATAAATTACGTAATATAATATACGGTAATGGGATTTATGATCCGGAGGTATATGTCAGATAGCTCATGCGTCTCCATTTTTGGCGGGATGTGCTGAGATGTGATGCACTGTTGGCCTTATGGGCTTTTACGAATCCGCCGGACTTGAGGTGGGCGGGCGCTCGGGGAGCCTAGCCTGAATTTCGGTTACGCGTTATGGTGACTAAGCTCGAGGGCTCCCAATGGAGCCTCGGCTGGGGCCTGGGGCCATCACGCTATTATTAATCTCACCGGTTTGGGAGGCCACCAAGTCCTTAGGGCGCTTTGGCGGACGCTTCATGGAGTGACTAGGCTCAAGGGCCCCCAAGAGGGGACCTCTGCTTGGCCTGTCACTCAATACCCGTTTAGCATTCCGAACCTCGGCTCAATCGGTAGCTATAGTCTGACTGAAAGAATTACTAGATCTATCGTTACTACCACTTTGGAAAGCGTTGGCGCTGGGAGAAAAGTGGCAGAAGAAATTGCAGCAATGCTTCTATCATTACCTGGGAAAAATCTGCCAGGTACGTGGCGGAACCTAGTATGTTTGCCGCAGTGTGTTCTGGTGTGTTGACGTAGTTTTTTAATACGTGACGTGTCGCGGTCTACGGCAACTGCGGAGGAACGTACTTAGCGTTGGGGTCTGTAGGTGACGGCACCTACGAATCACGTCAATCACGTCAGAAAGCAGCGAAAGTGCCACTAACTGAAGGCACTCATATTGCCTTAACTTTGTACATCGGGTTACGCCCACTTGGCACTTCTACTTCATTTGACTAACAGACTACTATTTACATTTAACTAACCGCGCATGAAGGGTTCCCTACCAATACCTATAAAATGGCAAAAATATCATGTCTGTTGTATGGGAGCCCCGGTTAAACATTTCTTTATTCTGTTAGTATTTGTTATTATGTTCATGAGATACAGCCTGGTGACAGACGGACAGACAGACAGCGGAGCCTTAGTAATTGGGTCCCGTTTTACTCTTTGGGTACGAAACTCTAAAAACTACAGAGGGCCATGGGGCTGAGGAATTCAGATCAAGAGTTTTCCAGGATTAGGTAGCTACCTCACCCTGGAAATTTTGATATTATATGGGACTTCCTTGAAGATTATTTTTCTTATTTAAAAGTCATAACGTATTAGTTAATTATTGACCTATTTTATTTTACAAGTTAGCTTAGAAGTTAATGTCACTGTCGTTGTCATTGCGACAGTGACAATTCAACGATTGCAAGTTGCGAATAAACTTCGTATTTCCCTATTTAATCTTTGGCAAAGAGAATATTAGCCACTGATCTTTGGTTGGTGTTGGTTGGTTGCATAATATTGCAGTATTTGAGCCGGCTGCTAATTTTTTTGCCGGAGTGCAAGTGCCGGTAATTTGGCACAATACTGCGATTTTCATTCGGAACCTTTCACTATGCTTGCCTCAAGGAAGTTTGGAAATATCATGTAAATAGTTTTTATCAATATAAAATTTAATCAAATGAAGAAAAGTTATATATATTTTTTATTAACCTTATATCGTTAGTACGAACTGGAGTTAAAGAATAATGCAGTTACTCTTAGTTTATAAATTCAAATTGTATCTAAAGATGAATTAACAATCTGGTTAATATTCAGTCGCGGAACTGGAGCAACACGTCTTAAACACACATTACCTGATTTGCCCTACGAGTATAGTGCTTTGGAGCCTGTAATCAGCCGTGAAATAATGAGTCTTCACCACAGTAAACATCATGCTACTTATGTGAACAACTTAAATGCTGCAGAGGAAAAACTTGCTCAAGCACAAGCTAAAGGTTGGGATCCTGCTGTTCTATGCTAACACTTATTTTTTAATTTACTATTTTTAATTTTCACAGCAGCTGAAACAAATACTATGCTTTCACTTTTGAGTGCACTAAAGTTCAATGGAGGAGGTCATGTTAATCACTCAATTCTGTGGTGTAATCTATCTCCCTGCAAGTCAGAGCCTTCATCCAACTTTTTGCAAGCTATTAAGCAGTAAATTTTCACTTTTTCCATTTTTTTTACTATTTTAGATAAATAATTAATTATCAAGAAATAGTAAAGGTAGTAGTGTGTACATCAAGTTCATTATTGAAAAAAAAAGTAGATGAATTAGTTAAAATGTAACAATAGTACATATACTTTAGAATTTTAATAATTATCATAATAAATCAAGAAAAACTCATTTCAATAATTCCATGCAGGTGACATCAATACAATTATCAGTTTGGCGCCGGCTCTAAAATTCAATGGAGGTGGTCATATCAACCACACTATTTTCTGGCAGAACCTCTCCTCTAAAACCAGCAAACCTTCTGATGTGCTTGTCAAAGCTATTGAGAAGTAATTATTTTTATATTTCTTTAAGTAATTTGCTGGTTCCTTGTGATACCACACAAATATAAATTCACATATTTTTTATGAAATTAAATTTTCTTCATAATTTTTTTTTCTCAATGGGTTTGGTGTCATTTAATTTCTCATTAGATTCACTTTGAGTTCACTTCCTTTCAAATACATCAGTACATGTTTTATTAAAGTAACTAACCAACTATTTGATTAAAAATAGATCAGTGTTATTGTAATGCAGCTTATGTTTCTTAGTTTTTTTTTATAAATTTTTAGTGAGTATTTGACACAAATAAGTTTTTTACTTTCATAAAATTTTTGTTTATATATAATTGTGTATGCATTGTTAAGTTTATTTATTACCTACTAAGGATTTTCGGATATTTTTAAGGGATTTTGGATCATTGGAGAATATGAAAAACCAACTAGCAACAGCTTCTGTGGCTGTGCAAGGTTCTGGTTGGGGCTGGCTTGGATATAACAAGCAAATGAAAAAACTGCAGATTGCTACTTGTCAGAATCAAGACCCTTTGCAAGCAACCACCGGTAATAATTTTTCAAAATAATTTCTGATTTATACAATTCAAGGTTATCCATTGATTACTTGATTCTGTATACACAAAATTTGGTGCAAACCATCTATCTATACTGTACTACAATACTGCTCCAGTTTATATCAGTTTCTACATCGCTATATATTTCTTGCTACCATCATTTTAATATTTTTTTTAAATAATTTATTGGTCACTAACCAATCAAAAGTCAACTACTTACATTAACTTTTTAGAACCATAAAAGCAATTTATAATCTAGATTTGAATGCATCTCTGAGAGAGAAATTTAAAGAAATGAATATATTAACCTTGGCCTTTCAATATATAAGGTAGCATAAGAAACATGTTTGAGTTATATAAATGGGTATCGTAAAAAGAAAAATATGTCACTATTTCGCAATAAACATGTGACAGAAGTTATGATCCATCTATGTAAATATTTCTTTATAAGAGATAATTGCAAAGAAGTTTTTTTTTATGTGAGAAGGTGACAAGGGAGCTGGAAGTTCACCTGATGTTAAGTGTTAACCGCCGCCCATGGATGATAGCAGTGGGAACCAGCTACCTCTCTGATCAGTTGTTTATCTTATTTACAAATTGTAGAGATAAGGAGAAGTATTTGAATGTATAGAAAGTGTCCATAAAATTCATGGTGTTACTCTATCATATATTAGAATCAGCAAAAAAAACTATGCTCATTAATTATTCATTATATATTTCTAAATTCATTGGGCAAAGTTTTCTTTGTTTACTACTCTTAAATTGAGATCTTACTATTATCCAATGTTAGCGCCATTCTAGTCATTTGACAAACCCTTATTTTATTGTACACATTTTTTTTCTCAGTTAAACACATGAGATACAACATCCCATAATCAGATAAAGAGTGACCATTATTACTAGTAATGTAGCAGAAGTGGTGTAATGGAATCAAAACGAGAAACAGTTATAACAAGCTTTTATTTTTTTCAGGTCTAGTGCCTCTCTTTGGAATAGATGTATGGGAACATGCCTATTATCTTCAATATAAAAATGTACGGGCAGATTATGTAAAAGCAATATTTGATGTTGCTAACTGGGCAGATATTTCAGCAAGATATGAGAATTCTCTGTAGTAAAAAAGACAAATATTATTTTTATCTCAATATTCCAATAAGGCTTTTTAAATAGAAGCTGATTTATAACTACACAATAGTTACAAGAAGTGGTTGTTATAAAAATCAGATATGTGTATGTGTAGATTTACATGCATATATGAATTCTTATTAATAATACATGCTTATTGCTAGTTATATTGTTTTTTTTCCATAATAATATTTACCAAAAATGATTCAAATATGAAATAGAGTTCTTGTCTATTATCCCCACATGTCGAAGACCAAAGTCTTCAATGGAACTGAGACTTGGTTCTACACTGTTGGCTGTATATGAGGGAGACACTCAAATACACTTCACAATGAAGACATCTGCAGAAGAATAAAGGTAACCCCGACGTAGCTCAGAGGCAGTAAGTTAAAGTGGCAATGGGCCGGCCATATAGCTCGAAGGCCCAAAAACTGATGGTCAAGAAAGGTGTTTGAGTGGTAGCCTCGTATTATCATCGTAGTATAGGACGACCCCCCACTAGATTTCACACAAAATCCACAGGTCTTTGTTTCATCGTACGTACATCTTATGATCTACATGTTGAAAATAAAGTAGTTGGGACTAAAAATACATATTTTTATATATCAAGAAAACCACATAAGAAAATTTTTTTTATTAAGATTTTGTATTTTTACATAGGTAATGCGTGCGTGCGTGCGTGCGTGCGTGCGTGCGTGCGTGCGTGCGTGCGTGCGTGCGTGCGTGCGTGCTTGCATGCGTGCATGCGTGCGTGTGTGTTGTGTATGAGTTAATGACTTAGCTAACCTCACTACATCAGAAGTTTCAAGACATCCTTTTTAAACGTATCCTTATTAAAATGGAAAATATCAACTGAGTGGAATCTTTTATTATGAGTTTTTGCAAATGATTCATTACTTTTATACTTAAAAAAGTTGTCGGTCAAGATATTTTTGGCTTCGCACGGGTGCAATTACACACGGGTATTACATATAAACCTTCCTCTTGCATCATTCTATAGAGTAAAAAAAACCGTATCAACATTTTAAAGATTTAAGTATATACAGCGTGTCGTTACCATCGCGACAATAACTACGGCAATACGAGTCGCTGTATAACTTAGACCCTTTCTCAGAACGGACTGCCGTAATGGGCAAAGAGCTGTTAGCAAAAATTGGTGAAAAGTGAAGGGAGACGTGGGTTAATACTGTTACTAGCGTCAATATGACACACAATAGTAAAAAGGCCTGGAACACTATATGCAAACTCACCTCCTCAACCCGCTCCGCCCAGCCAAATCACGCCCAACCATATCGCTCACCATCTTTTATTGAATGGAATATCACCGGGTCGCCTCGGCAGGGTCCCCAAGCTAAACGGCACAGCAAATATATGCAACGATATCAGCAAGCCCTTTGATTTGACTGATATTATTACCGCAATTAAAGAACTAAAATGCGGAAAAGCCTCCAGAGTCGACAACATCTCAGTGGAGCAACTAAAACACATTGGACCCCTTGCGGTGTCATGGTTGCTGCAAATGTTCAATTACTGCCTAGAACACTCTTCGATCCCCCGGCTTTGGCGAAAGGCAAAGGTCATTGCGATTCCTAAGCCGGGAAAACCAGCAGATGATCCCAAAAACTTTCGGACAATATCCTTACTGTGCCATACTTACAAGTTATTTGAAAGGGTGCTGCTAACCCGGCTAATAAGCTCAATTGACTCAAAGCTGATTCCTGAACAAGCTGGATTCAGACCCGTTAAATCTTGCAGCAACCAAACACTTAAATTAACGCAACATATTGAAGATGGTTTCGAGGCTGGGATGGTTACGGGTGCTGTGTTCGGTGATCTGTCTGCAGCTTATGATACCGTTAACCTAAGACGTTTGCTGTGGAAGGTGGAGTCCATTACTAATGACAGTAAATTTGTCAACGTACTCCGCGAACTCCTACACAATCGTCGATTCCAGGTCCATCTTCTGTCCGATAGAACCCGTTGGAGATCCCAAAAGAACTGTTTGCCTCAAGGCAGTGTCTTGGTGCCTATCCTATTTAGTATATACCAACGACCAACCTTCATCTCCCTGCACGTCCCACTTCATATATGTAGACGACCTCGCTCTGACCTCCCAAGCCGCCAGTTTCGAACAGGTGGAAAACAATATAACGAATGCTCTGCAAAGCTTGGAAGAGTACTATGGCGCTAACTCTCCAAGGCCGAATCCGGGCGAGACTCAAACTTGCGTATTTCATCTACGCAACAAAGAAGAGCTTGCGGCCCAAGCTCCATATACAATGGCGAGGAATGCTCATTGAACATGTCGACCATCCCAAATATTTGGGTGTCTTTCTGGATAGGTCACTAACGTACAGGAAAAACTGCGAGAACATCAAGCAGAAGGTGCACGCTAGAAACAACCTCTTGCGCCGTCTGGTTGCTTCGAATTGGGGAGCTTCTTCTGATGTTCCTCGAACCACTAGTTTGGCACTTTCCTTCTCTGCAGGCGAATATGCTGGTTCAGTATGGAGCCGTTCAGCCCATGCAAATTGGATAAAGCATTAACCGAAACCTGTTGGAGTATTACAGGTTGCCTATAACCGACTCCGGTACAAATGCTGTATCCGTTAGCTGGAATAACCCCCCGCTGGTGCGCAGAGCAGTGGCAAACTCTTACGAAAAGACCAAGATACTGGGCGACACCCGCCATCCACTGTTCAGTCACGGTCTCGTTTCACAAAGACTGAAAAGCCGCAGAAGTTTCATGAAGTGTGTGTCTCCTCTTCACGATAGTGACCGATCTAAAGAAAAATGCAGGCTGTGGCACGAAAGTGTCAATGTCCCTAGCCCCTTTGTCCCACTGTCTGAGAAACTACCGCCTGGACATGAGTTGCCATGGCTGACTTGGAAGTCTAAATAGACTTCGGACGAAAGTGGGCCGAAGTAAAGAGAATTTGTTCAGGTGGGGATTCTCAGACGGTTCCAGCTTGGAGTGCAAATGTGGTGCTGTTCCCCAAACCATGGAACATTTCACGTCGTGCCCTGCGTGCTCAACCAACTGCACGCAGGAGGACCTGATGAATGAATGAATGAATGAATATTTACTTAGTTTCAACAACAAACACAGTTATGTTAACAATTAAAGAATATATATCTAAGACATGAAAGCAAACAGGTATGTACTCGGTACGATTTCCCGATTTTCAGTACATACCAAAAATTTTAATTATAAATAACAAACTAGACTAAAATAACACAAAGCGGGTACATTAATTTAAGGACAATAACACAACACCTACTGATTATAACACAAACCTGGTACATTATTCTAAAGACAGTAACACAATAACGACTAATGAAAATTAACTTATAAGTAAAAAGCAGTGAACAGAAAAAAAAAAGAAAACTGTTTCCAAAAACAAAAACAAATGCAGACATCAATAAAATATAGCTTGACGAAAACACCAAGTCACTTATCAAAAATACATAAACTATGTACACTGTAAGTATATAACATGCACACGTATTTTAGCCCCGTAGCTTTTGCGCCTTAAGCAGATGTTCTTTAAGTTTTATTTTAAAACTTTTTACTGTTGTGCAGTTTTTGACTGGAGGTGGTATATTATTCCAGCATTTTGAGGCAGCGTAGCGAAAGCTACCACGAAATGAGGATGCCCTATGTTTTGTGTGCATTAATCGACTTGAAATCCGGGTGTGGCGTTCAGAAAAAAGAAGTTTCTCATATAAATACTATGGCTCGCGATTACGAATGACTTTATACAGCATACAACTATAATGCACGAATCTACGAGATTCCATATTTAATAAATTTCCACGATTTAGAAAAGGGGTCACATGTGCTTTTCGGGGTATTTTAAAACAAAACCTAGCGCATGCATTTTGCACCCGCTGTATAAGTAGCTTTGTACGGGCAAGCAAACATCCGCCGATGACACTACATCAGCATAATTTAACTTCGATAGTATTAATGACTCACATAGTTGCACTCTTGTATTTTCATTAATAAAGTCCCGAATTCTATACAAAATCTTTAATCTAAAGAAGCAGTTCCTTACCGTATTCAGGCAGTAAGCCTCAAATCTCAATCGGGAGTCCATAAGTACTCCAAGGTTATGTGCTTCGGATACCTGCTCAATATAGTTGCCTCCAATCTGAATTCTAGGGCCATGGGCTCTAGTAGAGGCAATTAATTTCTTAGATCCCAAAACTAAGAACTTGGACCTGCCAGGATTTAAGACCAAGCCATTGTTATTTGCCCATTCAAAAACCCGACCCAGATCCCTGTTTATTCTGTCAACTGTCGCTGGTATATCCTTAGGTTTTGATGAAAGGTATACTTGAATATCATCAGCATATATATGATATTGGCAGAATGTAAAACAGTTAAGAATAAATAATAGTGGACCCAGAATTGAACCTTGTGGCACACCACGACATACAGCGGACGGCGTGGAAAATTTTTCCAACCCAGCTTCGTTACGTACTCTAACTCGTTGAGAGCGACCTTCCAGGTAACTTCCAAACCACTTAACAGTCTTCGAATCAAAGCCATAGAACGCCAATTTAGAATGCAGTGTTAATATTGTGGCTTTACCTGCATCCTGTGCGGCTAAAATATCATCAATTACTTCTAATAAAGCTGTTGATGTGCTGTGTCCAGCTCTGAAACCTGATTGTCTTAGAGGTAAGATCTTATTTTGGTTTAAATACTCTATCAGTTGCATGGACACAGCCTTATCAGCAATTTTCGAGAGAAACGGTAAACGGTAAACTGAAAATGCAATTCATGTGGCTGAATTTTGGGCCGATATCGTGTAAATAGGTATTGCCATCGACACGAAAAGAAGAAGATGGGGAGCTTTCTCAACAAGAGGTGTCGACACTCAGCTTCTTGATATCCGAACCATTTTTATCCCGACTGATAACTGAAATATGTTGGGCGGTCTACAGATGTCTGAAACACTATATAAAGGTAATTAACATA